ATTCTCCTTCTGGCAGCGAGCACCCGAGTGCTCCGCCTGCTGGAACCTCTCTTTCACCCATCCCCGAGCAGGCATGCGGTCTTAACCGCGCTCAGCATGACGTCTCGTGCGAGAGCTTCGCCTCTAATGCCTTCGTTCACTACGACAGACAGGAGACAGCCCCGGAGATGGGGCAACCTGCTAGTGTTGTTATAGGTCAGGTTTCCCAGCCAGAACAGGCCACGAGCACCTACTGAGGCAGACAGTCCACGAGGACCAGAGCCACGCAGTGCACGACATGACGGACGATCTCCCCTGCTATTCGATCCTTCCGCCACATGCCTTCTTTAGGTGGCCCGACTCAGCCTCGCCACAGGCGGACTATGTCCGGTGGCTCTTGCGACCGTTGATATGTCTATCACATCCATTACTTGGAATGGCCGTGGCCTGGCGAATAGGGCTACTCTCTCTCACCTTCACTCTCTCATTCGTGATCACAGACTCGATTTTGTTGGCTTTATTGAGCCGATGATTTGCACCCCTTCTTTTGACTACTACTCGCGTCGCCTTGGCTTTCACTCGGGCGTGGGTAATATTTCGCATAAGATCTGGTTCTTCACTCGCGCGACTACACCTGTCGGGTCCTCCGTGACACCGATCAGGTGCTTCACGTTGAGCTTTCCGCTGCCCACCTCCCAGAGCCCATCTTTCACACCTTGGTTTATGCCAAGTGTACTAGGGTCGGGTGATATGACATTTGGGACACCCTGCGTGAGATTGCCGAGGGTATGGACGGATTGCCATGGATGGTTAGTGGCGATTTCAATATCTTTCTGCATCCCGATGAGCGTGTGGATGGCCGTTCAGACCGGTCACGGGAGATGTGGGATTTTGCTCAGACGGTGGCGGACTGTGAGTTAATTGACACTGGATGTGATGGTGAGCCCTTCACGTGGGTGAGGGACGGACTCAAAGAGAGGTTAGACCGTGCCTTGGTTTCTGAGGCGTGGGCGAAGGTGTTTGCGGTTACGACCGTCACACACCTTACTCGATTTGGATCTGACCATTCACCCCTTCTCATCCGGTGCCGATTTTCGAGCATCCCCTGCCGCTCTTCATTTAGGTTCCAGAACATGTGGGTTCGCCACCACTCCTTCCACGACACTGTTAGGATTCCTGGCTTCAGCCGACTGGGTTCTTCGGGATGCGCAATCTCGAGGTGAAGCTCGGCAGACTGCGGCGTCGGTTGAGACAGTGGAACTGGGATGTTTTTGGAAACCTTCATCAGCGCCTTGCTGCGGCTCAGAGTGCGCACGCGACGGCTGAGCGGGCCTATGACCTGGACCCCACGCCGAGTACCAGCTCCGACTCCTTATGGAGGAGGACTTTTGGAAGTAGAAGACGGCCGTTCGTTGGGTGGCCGAGGGCGAGCGGAACACTAGGTTCTTCCAGGGCTACGTTAGGCAGAAGCGTGCTAAGTCGTACATCCATAGTATCGAGGCGGATGGGACATCCCTAACCCAGGAGGCTCTGATTCGGGAGTCGGCTGTTGCTCATTTCCAGACCCTCTTCACCTCTGACAGAGGGTCCCTCGTGGCCCCGACTGCTTCTCTTTTCCCCACCATCCTTCCTTCGGTCGATCTCATTGGCCTCTGTGAGCTCCCGAGTACGGAGGAGGTTAGGGATGCTGTATTCGGGATTGATTCCAACAACGTTTCTGGCCTAGATGGTTTCTCCTCCCTCTTTTATCAGGTCTGCTGGGATTTCGTCGAGACTAACGTCGAGGAGGCGATGTTGGATTTTTTCTCCGGTCACCGGATGCCGGATTCCTTCACGTCTACCTCTGTCGTCTTGATCCCCAAAAGACCCAACCCGAGCTCTTGGTTTGATTACAGGCCCATCAGCCTGTGTAACGTGACCAACAAGCTCATTTCAAAGTACGACCGTCTTTCCCCTCTTCTCCCCTCCCTCATCTCTCCGAACCAGAGTAGATTCATCAAGGATCGGGTCATTAGTGATAACATCCTTTTGGCCCAGGAGATGATCCACGACATCTCCTGTGCGGATTGGAAGCGGGCTCTGAATATCGCGCTGAAGCTAGATATGGCTAAGGCGTATGATAGGGTAGAGTGGCCGTTTCTTAGGGAGGCCCTAGCTAGAATGGGATTTCCTAAGCGTTGGATCAGTTTTGTTGAGGCGTGCGTGGAGCACTGCACGTTCTCGGTCCTGGTCAATGGCAGCCCCACCGACTTCTTTCCCTTCTCTAGAGGCCTTAGAAAGGGCGACCCCCTATCTCCTTCACTCTTCGTTCTTGCGGCGGACTACCTCTCTCGCTGCCTTGACGGTTTCATCCGCGACTCTCCTCATATGAACTATAGCACCCGTGGCTATGTTCCTCCCATTTCTCACCTCTCTTACGCGAATGACATCATCATCTTCACCTGGGCGGATGATGATGGACTGGTCGAGCTCATGCGCCTTCTGGAGCACTATGGCTCGATCACCGGTCAGCTGGTCAGTGTGCAGAAGAGCACCTTCACCCTCTCCTCTTCCAGCGCAGACAGGTGGGCTCAGCGGGTCCACGACATTACTGGCTTTGTGCGTGGCGACCTTCCCATTACCTACCTTAGTGTCCCTTTATATAAGGTAACCTCACGAGAGCGCTCTTTGCGGGCGTCAGGCAGAGGATGATCGACAGGATCTCTGGTTGGTCGCATAGACATCTTTCCTTCGGTGGTCGGCTTGCGTTGATCAAGAGCACCCTTAGCTCTCTTCCGATTCACTTGCTTATGGTCCTCGACCCCCCTAGGTCTACTCTTGACGAGATAGACCAGATTATGACTCGTTATTTCTGGGGTTACGAGGATGGTTCTGGGAGGGGGAGACGTACCCACTGGGTGAGTTGGGACTCTATCTTTCGTCCCCTACCCGAGGGTGGCCTTGACATCCGCCGCCTCAGGGACATTGTTGCAGCTTTTTCCTACAAGCTATGGTGGCGCTTCAGGGAGGGAAAGTCGCTTTGGGCTCAGTACCTTCGCGGCAAGTACTGCCCTAGACGTGCCAACCACCCTTGTTGGGTGACGGCTTTTGATCATGATAGTAGGCAGTGGCGGCGCCTCACTAGGCTTGGTAGGCGCGCCCATGATCACATCTTCTGGGTTCTGGGCGAGGGCGATGTTAGTTTCTGGGATGAGTGGTGGGTAGGTGATAGGCCGTTGTCTGGGGATAGGCAGGTATCGCATTCCTTTACCTGCTTGTGAGAGACCTCTGGACGGACGGGTCGTGGGATAAGGGGAAGCTAGATAGGGAGTTGGGGTCTGGTGCGGGTTTTAGCGAGCAGTTATTAGATCAGATCCAGCAAATCCCTATCTCGGGGGACGGTTCAGATAGCATGAGGTGGAGACTTACATCATCGAGTGTGTTTACTACTACCTCGGCTTGGGAGCAGATCAGGCTGATGGATCGGCCTAATCTCCTCTTCGGGGCTACACGCAAGGGGGATCTCCTTCCCCTCTCGGTGTGTGTGTTGTTCTGAGACTGGACGCCATGAGACCGAGACCTTTACCCACCTTTTCCTAGAGAGTGTGATTGTGAGGAGAGTGTGGGAGCATTTTTGCCACTTTGACCCATATATCCCTACCCACCACAGACAGTTTCTTTGAGCTCCTGAGTTTTTTCTCACAGAGCACACACCTTAGACACGTGGGCTTCCTCATTCCTTATCTGAACCTTTGGTTCACCTGGACGGAAAGGAATAGTGCGAAGCATAGGGATATTACTTTTATGTTTTCTCACATTGTTTTGCAGGTAGAGAGACACATTTCACTCCTCATCACATTGGGCAGGCTCATGGGCCGAGACTGGACAGGCTGTACGCCACCATACCGTTACATGGTGGCCCCACCACCGCCTGTTCGGCACCCTCGGTCTAGAGATGTTGTTTAGCTTCGACCTGACTCTCCGTGGGTTAAGCTGAACACTGATGGTTCCTTGGATCGTCACACTGGAGTTGCCGGAGGAGGAGGCTTGATCCGGGACCACAGCGGCGCCCTCATCACCACCTTCCTTATGCCTCTTCAAGCCTGCTCGAGCTATGATGCAGAGATTCAGGCTTTACAGATCGGCCTTCAGATTGCTGTCCACCTCTCTAGCCACATTTGGATCGAGCTAGACGCTGCGGCTGTAGCCACCCTTTTGACCTTGGGCCACCAGGGTTCGTGGCAGATTCAGCACCCTCTTATGCGTATTAAAATCTTTCAATTTTGGAAATTCTTATTCGAATAGGCGCGGGGAGAGCGAACGAAGAGTGGGAACGGAACTCTTGAGACGAATGTTCTCCCTAAACGCTTTCTACTAGCCCCACCGTAATGAAATTGTTAGATAGTTAGGCCGGTTTGGCACTCGACCCTGATTTTTTACTTTACTTCGCTTCGCCAATACAGGTTGGTGGGTACGAGGTCTCGACCATGAGCCCTACCCGGTCTGTCCATCACAGGATCACGCACATTTCCGTGAGGGAAACCGACCTGCCGACTATCTTGCCAGCCTTGGCGCCACCATACCAGACACACATACATTTCAGACCGACACTGCTCCACTCTGCTTTCGCACGCTTGTTCGGATGGACCAGCTTGGATATCCATCTTTCCGATTTTAGTAGATTAGGTTTTTGCTCTCATTAGATTGGATCTTGCTTCCGGGAACCTGTTAGCCCGTGGACAGACTTTGTATCTTTCTTCCTTTTGGTTTTCTTTTGTTGGTTTTGTTTGGTTTTGCTCCAAATACTTTGTAGTTTGTTGACACTTTGGGCCCCAGTTTCCGGGTCTTGATTTATGTACAAGTTAAGGATCCAGCCCAATCCCCCGCCCTTCCAGGGTGTTGTTTGGTAAAAAAAAATAAATAAATAAAAAATAAAAAAATAAAACCTAGCAACTACTTTAAACTAACTTAGCAACAAGATAGATAGCTAGGGTTTCGCTCATCTCCGCATTTTGCCAGAAGCTCCGCAGACTCGAGCAACAATGGTGGCCACCAAGAAAACCAAGAAGACCCACGAGAGCATCAACAACAGGCTCGCTCTGGTGATGAAGAGCGGAAGGTACACGCTCGGTTACAAGACCGTGCTCAAAACTCTGCGAAACTCCAAAGGTAAGCTGATTCTCATCTCAAACAACTGCCCGCCCTTGAGGAAATCGGAGATCGAGTACTATGCTATGCTTGCAAAAGTTGGGGATGTCGACTTGGGGACAGCTTGCGGAAAGTACTTCCGTGTATCTTGCCTCAGCATTGTTGATCCAGGTGACTCGGACATCATCAAGTCTTTGTCTGGTGAGCACTGAGAAGAGAGTGATAGCTTTATGCATTTCAACAGTTCCAATCAATTTTTAAAGTGCTTCCGATATTCAGTTGTAGAACAGAAGTTTGGTGTTGGATTCAATGTGTTTTGTTTCCGTAGGGCAGTAAGGTTATTTACTTGCTTGTTTATGACAGACCATTAATTTTGCTATTGACATATGTTCTATGATGGGTGTAAGCTTTTTTATACTTTAGTATGAAAAATACTTAGCAACAAGATAGAACTAACCTAGCAACAACAGACAACTAACCTAGCAACTAGACATAACTAACCTAGCAACAAGATAGAAATAACCTAGCAGTAACAGACAACTGACCTAGCAACTAGACATAACTAACCTAGCAACATCAAACAACTAACCTAGCAACTAGACACAACTAACCTAGCAACTAAATACAACTAACCTAACAAGAACTAATAACTAACCTAACAACTACTAACCTAGCACTACAGAGAACTAACCTAGCAACTACAGAGAACTAGCCTAACAGCTACTAACTTAGCAACTACAGAGAACTAACCTAGCAACTAGAGAGAACTAACCTAGTTGGAAGGTTAGTTGTCAACGGTCAACGCCGGAAGTCAACGGATTTTGCCGGAAGTCAACGGTCAACGCCGGAGTCAACGGCTCAAAATAATATTTAAATAATTAAAATAATAAAAAGAAAATAGTAAATCTTGGCCACACATGATGTACCAAAACTTGTGGCTAAAAATGAGTCTCACGCCCTCACTTTAAATAAGTGGATGCATTGGAACCAATTCCTATATATATATATATACTGCCTTATTGATGAATTATTTATTTACTATATTTTTGATATATAGTTGTGATCGTGTATATATATTTATCTTCTCTGTGATGTGTATTAATATTTTATCTGTTTCATTTGTTCCTATATGCAATGTGTATTAAACGTTTTATCTGTTATTAATATTTTTATATGCTTTATTGTATTAAACTTTTTATTTGTGTGTACGAACTTTTTATTTGTTTTATCTGATTTATTGTATTAAACTCTTTATCTCTTTTATATACGTATAATGCGTGTGTCTGTTAATCTGTGAGAATATCGGTTGATTTATTTTTCTCTTCCCTGCCTATTTGCGTGCGTAATATATATTTGTGCAACTCTAGACATTATAATTTTATTTACATGCAACAATTAATTATACCACCTGAATAAAATAGATCTTGGTGACACTAATATAATTGTTGTGATAAAAACTTGGAATATACTAAGTAATGAATTTAATATTAAATCAAATTTTGTTAAATTGTGCATGTAAGTAAGTGAATTTAATAGGACACATATATTTAATTTTAATATCGGTAATACCATATATATATATATATATATATATATATATATATATATATATATATATATATATATATATATATATATATATATATATATATATATATATATATATATATATATATATATATATATATATATATATATATATATATATATATATATATATATATATATATATATATATATATATATATATATATATATATATATATATATATATATATATATATATATATATATATATATATATATATATATATATATATATATATATATATATATATATATATATATATATATATATATATATATATATATATATATATATATATATATATATATATATATATATATATATATATATATATATATATATATTCTCTTATCCCCTCTTTAATATAATTTGAAAACGTGTTGAGCCTAAATGGCTACTCCGCATGCTTCGGAAGCTTACTTGGCAACATTACATGCTTCGGCTTTTGGTTCAGATACATTCCCTAATTGTTTAAACTAAATACTTAATAAATAGGATTCGTGTAAATCCTTCAACTCCAAATTCTTATCTTATAAAGCTTACTTGCCAACATTACATCTTAGGATTCTTATCTTGTCGTGTAAACCAAATAAAAAAATTTAATTTTATATATTATTTTATATAATTAATGTAAACAGTAACTTTTTTTATATAGTTTAAATTAAAAAAAATACTATAATTTTACAAAAAATATATAGCCACTTGCATATTATATCTTTTCAGTCCAAACATAAATAAATTATTTAAATCTTTTTAGAATATCTATAAAAATACATTGAAATAGTTATAAAATATTATATGATCTTTTTAATATATTTTAAAGAGTTGAAATAGTTATACAACAACATGTGTGTTTTCTATTATTTTACGTTTTATATTTTTTTTTAAAACAACCCGTGTAGTATACGGGTTATATATAAAAAGAAGCTATTGCCCTCAATGAGTGACGCGTGTCAAGTTTTTCACTTCAGGTTTTAAAAACGACGTCGTTGTAATTGTCATAAAGTGACGTCGTTCTGCTTAGCCAACCCATTTCTCTTATCGCTTGCATTATTCCAGAACCCTAATCACGACACCACTCTTTCTAATTCCTCGACACCGCCCCTACCATTGCATCATACAACCTTGATTAACCACAAGAGAGAGGAAAGAAGACCAATAACAGAGTGAGTCTGAAACTCTTTCTCATTAACAGTTTCTCCGACCGCAGCCGCTGGGAACCTCCGTCTAGAGCAAGGAATACAAGGAGGCGCCGCCGGCGCCTCTGTTCGATCCCGGTGAGCTCAATTCGTGGTCCTTCTGGTGGGCTAACATGGCCGAGTTCATGTCCACTTTCCTTTTTTTATACATCACGGTAATAACGGTGATGGGGCTCTGGAGGTCCGACAGCAAATGCTCGACAGTCGGGATTCAGGGGTTGTCTGTACTTTTTGTGGGATGGTTTTTGCCCTTAATGTACCGCTTGAATTCTTGGTAATTTTTTCCCTCTCTTCAAGTCAATACTATCTGTAATTTTCTGTGAGTGCGTTTACTGATTTGTTGGGGATTTCCTTGATGTTTGAGCTTTATTTTTTCTTCAGCTGGTATTGTGCTATTAATTTTCTTAATTTTTTGTTCTAACTCTGTAAATTAAGTTTTGGAATGGATCTGTGTTCCTTTTTATCCTTACCTTTTGTCATGTTATTCTTCAGCTAAATTGATGATTCTGATTCTATTCTGTTTCTGGTTTGAAAGTTTTTCATGGAAATGATTTCATGCGCTAACCTGTAAGCTTGTCATGTTTATTCTTGAGCTAAATTTATCGGTAAAAGTGACAATCTGATTATATCCTGTTTTTTAGTTTGAAATTTTTCCCTTCAAAATAATTTCATGTGTTAATCTGTAAGTTCATGTTTATTCTTGAGCTCAATTCATCTGTAAAAGTGATAAATATGATTCTATAAACATTCCATTGCCTCATTTTCTCTGTACTGGTTACATGAGAACCAAACTAAGTAAAACATATAGGTTCTGGTGTACACCTGATGTCCTGATTATGTACAATTATATTGCTCTTTGAAGCTGAAAACCTGTGTGTGTTTGTAAATTTTCTCAAGTTGTTCCATTATTACCAAACTAAGTAAAATATATAGGTCCCGATGTACACTTGATGTCCTGATTATGTATAATTATATTGCTCTTTCAAGCTGAAAACCTGTGTGTTTGTGATTTTCTCAATTTGTTCCATTATTATTCTACTAGACTACTACCTTGGCCTTTGAAATTTTAAACTGGTTGCATTTGTTAGTCGATGATCATTTGTGTGCTGAGCATAAACTCCTTCTAATATGCACTTCTAAAGATTCAACTTGATCAATCCAGAAGCAAGTAACTTTATTTAAGTAGGGAAAATATGTTCAAGATGGATATTTAAGTAGGGAAACTTTATTTCCCCTACTTAAATAAAGTTGCTTGCAATTGGAATTGTTTTAATGGTTATTTAAGCAAATGGCTATTCCTGACGTTAACTCCAAAATGCCATCACATTGCATCGGATACATTATGAAACAGTTTGTTCCCTTCTGAAGTAATAGTTTCCTGGTAGAGCATAAATTAGCTATTATTTCGGGTCTATTTGTATATATTATTATCAATCTTTTCAGAAACTTGTGCTCTTGTATATAAGTTATATAAGGATTTTGCTCATTTCTTTGTTGTTCAGGAGGGAAAATTGATGTGGCCTGCTTTCAGAATTTAAAATGTTTAGCTTTGGTGAGAGAAATCGACCATGACATATGATCTTCCATAGTAGGAGGTGAATTTTTTATTTGTTTTTATTGTTTTTTTGGGTTTAATACATTTTGACCTCAGTCAAGCTTACCTGAACAATATAAGTTTGCCCACATGTTTGTTGATGAGTTTGTTTCCATGTTTTCATAATTGTTGTATGTAACAATGGACAAGAATCTTTATTAGCTGATTAGTTATTTTAATTTTTAAATTTTGTAATAAAGAGGTATTTTTAAATTATTTACAGTCCTCAGTAAAACCATTTTAGCTTTCTGCAGGCAGCTCATTTGTTATTGCATACTCATTAGTTGTGTCAAAATACAATGACTGCTACATCTACCTACAACAACAGGGTTATCGAGTGTCATTTAGCTTCTGTATGTTAGTTATAGCTTGATGAAATTTACTTGTAGTAATGACTGGTTATTTACATGTATGTACTTGGAGATAAATCATTCAAGTTGCACAATTCCACATTTTCAAATTTAATATATATTTTTATTAAAAGTAATTAATTTGATTATTATTTCTTTTATTTATTGTTATGGAAATCAAATTATTATTGGTCTATTACAGATTGTTACAGATTGTATTTGGGATAAAATTCTGGATGAGTACCCAAGAAGCAATAGCAAAGGTGAAGATGTTTTCAGATGTTGAGGGGTTGTGTGTATCATTTGCGAGCACAGGCGGGGTCCTCTAATCCGATTCTTGCTGTGAAGGTACCTCTTTTTGTCATCTTATGTTTTTTTTTTTACCCCGACCAATTTTCTTTTCGTACGTATATGCAGCCATTTGGTTCTAATAGTTTTTGCCATGCGTTCGTTTTTATTATTGACTACTCTTTCCCTGTTT